AAAGCATGGAGTCTAAAGCGGTGAAGGGGCACTTAATGGCATTAATGCTCCTGTAGAAAATCATGTTGTCTAAAGTCATTCAAAAGGAGGGGAAGGTTTAAAGGAAACAAGATTAGATAGAGCTTGAAGGAAGATCTTCCACATTTTTTCAAAAGAAGTCTGCATGTTTACATAATCTTTAGATAGCTTTGCTTGCAAATTTTCCTAAGAGGTCCCTCCATTTGAACAAGGTCTCTGTAGAAGTATCTGGTCCATTGTGTGTCTACATGACCTCACCAAAGCAGAGAGAATGATACTTGTCTCAGATTTAGGTGAAACACAAGTCACATACAATTTGACTTTAATTTTTCCTCTAATCCCATTGTATTGTACACTTCAGTTGTTCATAGCTGCCAAATGTATGGGGAGTCCAGGAAAAAGTTATGATAATCTTGCACTGCCTTTTGCAATGTCGCCTTTTCCTGTTCTTTTACAATAATTTTTTGGTATTGGTATTAAGATTTCCTTGAAGGTATCTGATTTTCCTTTTTCCTCTTGTAGCTGCCTTATCAGCTCTTTTTTTTTTTTTAATTCCTCCTGGAAACTGTACTTAGAGTACATTCTTTATTTAGGATTACCCTAATTTCTTAGGGAAAATGATGCAACTTGTAAAGAATTGTTCTCCCCCAAAATATATATTTTATGGAATACCATTTTAGTTGTTGGTATGTTTGTGTTGCCTGGTCTAATGATTCCTGGAGGATGTGTCTGATCTAGTATTGGTAATGAGCAGGGATCCTGGTTTTCTCTGATTAAAAAAAAATCCCCAATTTTTAATGATAAAAAGTAACACAAAATCCATTTTCCATGATTAAAATGAAACACCATTTAGTGTACCTAAAGTATCTAAATTATATCTAAATTCTCTGATAAAAAGCCCAAATTTTCAGATAAAAAAGTAACCCAAAATCCACATTTTTCCATTTCGGGGGAAAATGTACATGTGGGGTTACTTCTTTTAATCTGAAAATCGGGATTTTTTTTAATCAGAGAAAACCAGGATCCCTAGTAATGCGTTAGTGTGCTGTTTCTCAAATGGATGTGTGTGGCAAACTTCTAGCAGGAGTGCAAACAGATGGAAGGGGAAGTGGAAAAAGAGAAAGGGGAAATATAAATGGAGAGAGAAGAAGAAAAGAGAAAGCATAAAGAGGGGTTGCAATTCCAGAAAGTTTGAGAACCACTGGGATAGTCTGTTTTTTAGAACAGATATTCAGAACAGTGGGTGGGCAGCCCAGTGTAGGGGAGATTGTGATGCATCAAGCTGTTCTCTGGACATCTTTCTGAAAGGGCCAAATAGAAAGTTTAATATAATAATGAAAGACTGAATGTGGGCAGAAGGGTCTCATCTGACCAGCACTCTTAACCAGGCACTTCAGGGACCTGTTAAACCCATCATTCTTCACACACAAGTGTGGAGTTTAGGGCTTTGGGGTAGACTAGATGAGTCAGGAGACTGATAATAAATTCTTAAGACTAATTATAATCCAGCCATGCTGACCAACAGTCCCCCATTGCAGGCAGTTCAATGGTTTATGAGATTAGTTGGCAATCTTAGTTTTAGTTCCAAGTAAACAGAGGTCCACATTGCATACCCAAGCACATCTTGGTTGGCAGTTCTGGAGAAATCAAGAGTTAAATGGACATGGCATTTATTTATTTATTTTAAGATCCTTTTCCTCATAGAAGTCTTCCTTCCCAGGCCAGGACTAGAGGTGCTTTAGTTGGCTGGGGCTTGCTTCTAGGGCTTCTGTCTGTCCTGTACCTGTTGTTTGGAGAGAGAATGTAAATTTTCAGTGCTGTCAATTTGGCACCTTTCAGAAATAATACGCCTAAAAAACAACCAAAAAAAGACAAAAATAAGGCAAGGAGGAAGAAGTTCTCCCTGTTCCACAAATAATTTATTTCTGAAATTAGAAGGATTTGAAGAAACAGCCACTCAAATTATTATACTGGTTTGACAGAGGGGAAATAAATGTAGAATGTTCTGAATATTTTTGGGTAGTTATTATTTAGTTAGTGGCCGCATCTACATGAGATGCTTATTGGCAGTAGGTTGTTACTACTGCACAGTAGCGTCAGAGGGCGCAAACTGTGATGCGACACTACTGCGCAGTAGTAATGAGCTACTGCGCAGTCAGTGTCACCATGAAGCCGAGTTTGTCCAACACCTCTTAGATATGCTGGGCACTGAGTCGGAGGCAAACAAAAACACAAGCACAGGGGGTTCTGTGGGTATGCAAGTACTAAATGACTGTGCAGTGACAACTGCACAGTTAATGTCTCATGTAGACATGGCCACTGATTCTCAAAACCTGAAAGCTTCTTGCAAGTGGATGATGCCTCTAGTCTACTACTGTGGTGGGTCTAGATCCTCAAAGTATTTGATTTAAATGGGAGTTAGATGTCTTTACCTCTTGATGTATTTACTTCTTGAGAATCTGGGCCTTGGGCTTGCAACGTTCATCATACCATGAGTTGGAACCTTTAAGTCTAGATACTCAAGCCAGCAGTAGCAGTTACCAAAAACTCTTCCAAAGAATCATTTGGCATTCAGTCAACTCTGGAACATCAAGGAATAAGCAGCTGCATTGCTTGAGAGCTTTTAGCAAAAGTTAAATTGCAATTTTTTGTCATGCACTAAGGAAAGCAAACCAGCCTCGCTGTCATCTTCTGGGATTGCACATCTTAATTTAGATACTTCCTCACTAGAGCCTGATGCACCCTATAGGACAGTGGTCTCCAAACTTTTTTGATTGTGCATCCCTATCAGTAAAAAATTTTTGAGCATGCACCCTCAATATATGTATATTTATTTATTTATTTGACATACGGACCGAGTGAAGGCACCAGTGTCAATCCGTATATTAAATATTAGTAAAGCTTAATTTCTTTCTTTTTTTTAGATAAAAAATAAATATAAATAGAAGTTCTAATATTTTCTTCCTGCACCCCAATGGATCATCTTGTGCACCCCCTTGCGTGTATCCCACTTTGGAGACCAGTGCTCTAGGAAACGTCATTGTATCGTTATAGTTTTCTAACAGTTCTTCAAACTGAGAGTAAGAAAGAGATTAGCTAATTTGCAGGATGTAGAGCAAAATCTCTTGTGAATGTTTTATAAATACTGAGCTTTCTTCAAAAGATGGGAGTCTTATTTATACACAAAGGCAGTTGAGGGGCACTGGAGCAGGATATATTCCTTCAGGTATAATCAAATTGCTTTTTAATAGTAATCTTTTTAGGTTGCAGGGTTCTTTAATATATTTTTATTGCAGAATAATTGGGGCATTCAGACAAGTGGAACATGCTTTTTAGTTATTACAGGGGTGAGAACTTTTGTTTTACTCTGGGTATTATAATTTTAGTCTTTAAGCTACAAAGGCAGTAAAAGTAGTGGTTTACCCTCAATGCAATGGAAAGTAAAGGGCAATCGGCTTCCGTAAACTGTCCCCTTTGCCATGTTTTGAATATCACTTTAATTGCTAGGCTCAGACTCTGAAGGATGCTGCTCATTTGCTCACAGGAGAATAGAACAATGATGATGAGACTAACATGATTTGAAAACCAAAGTGCTTGCATTTCATCTTTCCTGAGATGAGACTTACTTTGATCTGATAAGGTAAGCTGCAGGTGTTGGAATGTTTCAAATAATAGAAGGTAATCGGAGCGACACGTATCCAGAACTTCTGGAAACAGGGTATTGGAGGGAGCTGAGTCCAGCCATATTTTGTAATAATACTTGCTCTGTTGTGAGTGGGAGAGCTTAAAAATCACTGCACAGTGAGAGCTGTGGCTAGTTGCTAAAATGTTGGGAATGACAGACAAGACAACAGTGTTCAGAGTATTAAACAAATGAGTCTGCTCTTTGGCTGGGACCTGGCTGGGGCCTCTCTTCACAATTAAAGAAATGTTTTCATGGACCATGAAACAGAAATGGGCATCCTAACTTGCAACTGTGGGCTCTTCAGATTTGCAAAAGCACATGTAGTTGAACACCCATAGCAACAGAAGACAGATACTTGGCTTTTCTTTTTTCTTGTAAATCTTGTTTTAGTTGTAAGGGGACAAGGCAGTAAGTATTATTTATAAAACTTTAAATCAATGCTTGTCTGAACAATTTGCTGACTTGTGTACAAGACATGAGACTGCCTTCCTGAGTGGGACAGGAACTGAGACCTGTCATGGAGTATGTAATGTGCTTAATCTGTGTGTGCATGTATGTGTGTCTGTGTGTCTCCGTCCAGTTAGTAAGGCAGTATTCATGGTGGCTCCTACCTGTTCAGAAGTCTCATAGGTGTCCTGACAGTAATGCTGTCAGTTTTATCTTTGAATTGCTACTATTTTTTGTAAATATGGCTTGAAGCTGGCTGATGGCACTAATGTGGAAGTGAGCTCCCATTGATGGCATGGCAGTAATGGATGGGCTATTGGCTGGCTGGATGCTGGCTACTTGGGGACAATGGATAAGCTAAAATTGATCGAAGGCCCTCTTCCATGGACATTCTTGCAGCTCTTCACTCTTTTGAGTAGTCCTGCTGAGATTTTCAGTATTTGGGATTGTAAGCCCTTCTGTAGTATCGCCCCAGCCAGAACAAGGTTTGTGAAAAGATAAAGCCTATCTGGCAGAGCTAGTAAAGCCAGTCATAAGCACCTAAGGAGCATTGAGGAGATGCTGAGCTCTAATGGGGAGGTTTGAGGTTTGAGATAAGGAACTTCAACCAGAATACATTTAGCTAGAACAGTATGCTGCTTCTGTCATTAATATTGTATTTGTTAACTAGACATGCTGTAGGTCCTTCCAAAACTTTTCAAAGTAGATTAATTGAAAAGAGACTTGGTTTCTACTATATATCTCCCCCTCCCCCAGCTCCACTCTGCTGCACAAGGTTGTGAAAGTACTGTTAATTACAATTGATATGAAGGGGATAAACATATGCTTATCTTTTTTTTTTCTCTTGAAGGTCATGGAGGCGGAGCAGACGAAAACAAGAAGTGAGCTGGTGCACAAGGAGACTGCAGCCAAGTACAACGCTGCCATGGGTCGGATGAAACAGCTGGAGAAAAAACTGAAAAGGGCTATCAATAAATCTAAGTATGTGTCACAGTTGGTGGTGCCTTTAAATGCTGAGCCTGCTTGCACAGTATGCTCTCTGCATCGCTTACAGGATTCTCTGTCAGTACTGAACCTACCAGGAGGCTACACAGAGTGCTTGTTTTTGTTTGCCTCCAAGTCATGCCAAAGAACTGTATTTTGGTTAGGAAAGCAATGAGGCTGTTGACAAACTTCAGAGGTGCAATGCTGCATCAGCTCTGCATATTGTACATCAGACTTGTTTACTCGATCTTTCTTAGCAAGCCATGTGAGAGCTTTTCTTGTGGAAAGGAAGACACTTCAGAGGGCATAGCTAATAAGCAGTGCAGTGATCAGATGCCTCTTCCTTTGGTGTGTGGTTCTATTCTGTTGCATAGATGTCTATGTATATTTGTTGGTAGGGTAGAAAAGTCGCGTATTGTAATATTTGCTTTCAGTCTGCCTAAAGTTTTTTTTTCTGTCTCCAACTAATTATAATCCTATCCTGTATTTCTAAATCTCCAGTGAGTATTTCCAAGTCATAACTTGTCTGACTCATTTGCTTAATGTTTAATACCTCACTCTAAAAATGACTTGTATCAATTTTTGTTACCGTTTTTATATAGTGAGTAAAAGGATTAGCACTTCAAGAACCATCAAAATAGATGGTCGCTCCAAAATGTTGTTTGATGTCAACAGCCTTGTCACCTTTTTTTTTTTATGATTTTATAAATTAAGCTGTATTCAGCTTTTTTCCAGTATCTGGATAGAAAGAGCTCCATAGTTTTGCAAGAATTACTGGTATTCATCAGTTTAGTTGGTTATTCTCTCCCTTGGGTGAAAAGATCACCAGAGCAGGGATAAGGGCATCCTGCTACCAGAAATGCTTTCTTTCGAATAAGATGGTTATAAAATTAAACTCATAGCACCAGATCTTTTTCATAAGTTAGCTTGGTGAGGGTTTGTTTCATTACCCTCGCTTCACCTTACAATGTCAAATGGATATGATCTCTTCACTTCCTGCCCAAGCTATTGCATGCGGGGATAGTATGTTCTGTAACAGTTGACCTCAGAGCTTACAGTTTCTCTGGGGAGGGGAGTAGTCTGTATATATTCCTTATCAACTTACAAAGTAGTTAAAGCTAAACATAGTAGACTTTTGAGCTGCTCCAATGAAAGATGTAATAAGAAGTGCAGATGAATCAAATGAGTGTGCAGTGAAACCAATTTAATCGGGTGGAGCAGACGTCTTATGTAGTCCTATTTGAAAGCTTGATCAGTTGTTTAGCTCAATTTACATCTTCATCTAAAAATCATTTGGGACTGAGATGAAATCTTTAGTATTGTAAAGTGGTTGTTTAAAATAGCAGATTCATGGTAGAGACTAGGTGCAGACATTCAAAAAGCCTGAGGCAGAATCAATCGAAGTAACATGGCTTTCTGTAAGCGGTATAGTTTAGATCGGTAGCGAACAATATATTACATTTGCCCTTTAGTGTGGGGGGGGGAACAAATCTTAGACTGGATTCTGCCATTTTTTAATCAGTCTGTATGCTGAACTTCTGTCCTGTTACGGGTATAGACAGGTTTCTGATTACGTATTTTGGTAAAAGTGTACCTGGCCTTGGGGGTTTGGTGCCCTATGGGGAGTAATTGGGAATAAAACCACTTCTTACTGATGGTTTTTATGAAGTTCTAGCCGTGGTTGTGCTAAAGGAACTGTTTGCTATCTTCAGTTTTCTCTTCCCAACACTCCTTTCTTAATGATACAGAGGTAGGGTCTATAGAATTGGAACATCACCTCACATCCCATATGAGCTTCATACAGCCTAGAGAGGATAACTCTTCTTATTTTTATGAGACAGTTATCCAAAATTTTCCCACATGGAGGAAATGTTGAAAGAGTTCCTTCTCCCAGTCCTTATTTAAAAGCTACTGTGATTGTCCTTATTCCTACCTGAACTGAGATGTGCAAGGATTGTTTGTTAAAAAAATAATCAAGACATGGGCAGTAGTAACTTTGAGGAGTTTTATCTGAAAGATTTGATTGAGCTGGGTTTTTTTTTGCTTTGCTTTTAAGTAATAGTTGACCATTTGAAAATGTATGGGCATGTGGGCAAGCACATAGTTATTTCATTCAACATCAACTAGAGTTCATGGGCCAGTGCCTCAGACTAAAATGATAATCAACTTGCTAATAAACTGGGTTAGCCACCTTTTGGAAGTAACTTTCTACTCTGCCGAATTTGATAAAGTGCCTCAAGCTTCTTGTTAGCTACGTAAAATACTTTATTTAAAATCCAGTCTGGTAGTTTTAGTCTATTGGCTGTTGAGAGTATTAGTCTGATAATTCTTATTTATCTGTGATTACAAAATTCACATAGACCCTTTTTCCAGTGCCAGACAGCACCTTGCAGGATGTTTCCTAACACAATTAAGCGTGACTTGAGCCCTATTTATGTTAGGTGTGCAAATTGGAGAACTGTTTGGTTTCATTTTTTTTATATATTATCATACTGGCACATGTTCCCTGCATTGATGTTGTCCATCTTCCCTATTTATCTGTGACTCTAAAAGAACTACCCTCTACCTCCCTTCTGCGTTTTTTGTTTCCATCTACCTGTAGGGCAGATGTAACTGTCTCTGTCTCTTCTCACAACCTTCAGTGTGCTTCTCTGTTGACATGGCTGGAGGTTAGACCAGCATCTTGGCTGTATTGCTTAAATTCTCTGTCTTGCTGTTCTTGATCTATAAAATGGAAACAAAAGCATTTTCCTGCATTACAGGGTTGTTGTGCGACTGTATAATAAATCACTGGGGTGTTTTGCATGTTCTGAGTATTAAGAAAATCATAGTTCATCACACACAAAATACTATGAAAGGGGTTAGTCCCTCCTCTCCTTACACACCCTCTCCAAGACCTGAGATTTCCTAAAGTCTACGAGACTAAGAGTTGAGTTGGAGCATGTTGCTCGCAGGAAGGACCCCATGGGCAGTGCCCAGGTAATCAACTGGGTCAAATTCATCCCTTTGCCATTTGTCTATTTAAATGACAAAGGAGACTGTTCAGACACCCTTAATGGAAAGGGATTGCTTCAGCATAAAATCAAAAACAAAGGAATAAACAAGCACAGGAATACAAAGCAAAAACTTTCTTACCAATTTTTTTCTTTTCCTTATCTCTTCTTTGGGGTCACTGCATGCAGAGATTAACAGTCCTGTTTGTTTTACCAGTCTGCTTCCAAAAAATAGTGTTTAAAGACCTAATTAATATACTGGGGAACTAAGGAAGAACATGTGAGAGGCTTCTTTGTCCTGGGACCCCAGAGACCTACACCGAACCTTGGAACTAAACAAAATTTAACATTGGGAGGGATCTGGCTCCTGGGATTCTACTCTCTGCATTTGAATTGTTAATCAATACTGGTCCAAAAATTGCTGCTTTCTCTACTACTTTCTAACATGCACTTTTTTATGCCAACTAAGGTTAGAAGCTCATTAGGCCTTTGAGTCTTTGGGTTAGTCTCAAAGGACCGGGGACATAGGTCTTAGCATAAGCATATAATCAAGTCACACAATTCACTCAGTGGTATCAATATACTTAAAGTGTTAATTGTTTGTAACTTATATTGTCAGCCTATGTACTAGCAGGGTGCTCTCTTACAATAGTGGAGAATATAACAAATTGACTAAACTGCTTTTTGTAGCCTAGTATCAGTATAGAACCTGGAATCTCAGAAGATGAAACCTTTATTTTGAAGTTAGGTTGTGTGTAGATCTCCCAAAACCTGTGAAACATAATCTCATTCTTTGGAAAATGAGTTACCTGAGGAGGCTACATGGACAGGGATGACTTCTGGAACCAGGTTGTGAACTGCTTTTTCCACTGTTGGGCAATTGGCTCCACACATCCTAAAACAACAGCGTGCCACAAGGCAGTATGCTTGCCCCATTTTTAGTCAACATCTACGTTAACAATCAGCCACTTCCTTCCGAATGTCAGTGTTTCATCTATGCTGACGATCTCTGCATTAGCATACAGCAGAAGAATTTTGAGGACAAGGAGAAGATCCTGGAGAGGGCACTGAACGAAATGTCAGATTATTACCTAAATAATTAGCTCAAACCCAACCCTAGCAAAACCCAAACCTGCTCTTTCCATCTGAGGAACTGGGATGTGGAATGACACCTGAATGTCACCTGAGGTGACCAGAGTCTCAAACATCAGAAACACCTGGTCTGCTTAGGGGTAACACTGGACTGTACACTTTGTTACAAAAAGCACATATTAAATACCAGAACTAAGGTCAACAGACAAAACAACATTATGCATAAACTCACAAATTCTAAGTAGGAAACACATCCATCCACCCTATACACTACTGCCTTAGTACTTTTTCTGTGGTTGAATGTATCTGCACCACTTGGGCATGCTCAAGTCACAGTAAATATATTGACACTGCTCTAAATGATACATGCAGACTTATAACAGGCTGTCTAAAACCCACCCTATTCCCTGCTTATATGCCCTGTCTTGTATAGCACCCCCTTACATCAAGAGGAAAGTATTAGGTGACATTGACTGGCAGGTATAAGAGTCAGATGACTGCCACCTGCTATATAGACATCAACCAGTGCACCATCTCTCATCAGGAAATAGCTTTTTGTTCTGTACCATACCATTGATCACATGACCAGAATTGGCCAGGACTACTCTCCGATGAAAAGAATGGGAGGAACTAGGCAACAAAGTTGTTGAATGGAACTGGTGAGGAATTACCCACTGTGAGGGGTTAGCATCTGGCTCCAGTTACAGATGGCACATGTGGCAGAGCCTGAATATATTAAGGGTGGTCTTGGCAGATGCAACTTTCTCATGAAATCATGGGGCCTCTACGCATTGGTGATGGATAGGGGGTGCACAGGGGTACACGTGTACCCCCTGAGAGCACCGGGTGCATCTCTGACAGGCCATGCTCCCCACTTAGGCGATGGGCGGGGGGCAGGTGGGAGCGCTGGTCCCCCTCCTGCAAGCGCCAGCCGGGGAGCGGGAGTGCCAGATGAAGTGCCACGGCCCCTGACTAAGGTGTCACTAGTCGCCCATGCCTCTACACAACCGACCAATGTTTTTGTTAGAAGAAGCAAATTATGGATCACCTCCTGAGATGCCCTGTAGCACCACAATGCACCCCATGAGATTTGGCAACATCAACACCAGAAGCAGTGGCCTGTGCAGAATATTGGGAGCAAACTATACAGAAAGAGTGGACGGGAGACATGATAAAGAAGAAGTATTGCCACACGAAGTTGCCTGCCTGAGCTTACCAAGCAGGAAAACAATCCACTGTAGGAAGTAGAGAGATGCCATGTCCAAAAATATTAATGAAGAAGGATATTTTCTATGTCAGTGTGATATTAAGAGAGTGGTTGGTTGGATTACAGATAGTAGCTATGGAGTACAGTGACATGTAGGCACCCACAACAAAACTACATTGCATCGCTGCAAAGCATTAGATACAACTGGCATAGGAGTGTGTTTTTTTTTTTTTTTAATGCAGGTGAGGTTTGTTAGATGAGCTCAAGCTGTAAATCAGGGTTAGCAGAGCTTTGTGTCTGTTATTAGAAAACCAGACCCTGAGGGGTTTGAGTTCAGTAGCATGCTACTTCACAAGACATCGCAGGGGGTGCAGTTTGCAGGGTAACGTGCTGCTTGCTAAGAAAACATACATCAGAATCCAGCTCAAAACATGGAAGGAAAAGGGGTGGTAGAAGCCCTGATTTTATATGAAGATTTACGTGACTGTTGGCTGCCTAGATTTTTGAGGCAGGTCCTGAAATGTGAGAGTGCCTGGAAGCAATATTACAGTTGAGTAAAATGGTTTCATTCTTGCCCTGTGTAATGTCAACACATTGATGGTTCACAGCCTGTAACACTTTAGGCTAGAATTCTTTTTCTTGGCTTTAAACTGCATCCTTCATATCCTTGTAGTCTCCTGACACTATTAAATTCTGCAGATTAAAGGAAGAAATGGCTTATGTATGGCTCCTCTCTGTTGTTTGGCTGAACAAAAAGTATTGGACTACCATGCAGCTGGAGAGAGACGTGCAGTTGGACGCCTACATCCTTCCTGCAGTCTGGACATATTTTAGCAATGCAACATTCTTTAGCATTAGCATTTTAGGGTCATAATGGCCCTAAAATGAGTGTGTCCAGATGTGCAAGTTTGAGCTTCACTTGGGACTTGCTACATAAGCTGCTAGTGGGCACATGTCACTTGGACTGGAGAGTCAAAGGTGGCTGGATGTGATACTAGTTGCATCCCTCCCTTGTGAGCCACCTTTGTCTTTTTTGTAAAAAAAAAAACTTCTGAAAAGTCAGAGACCTGTGGGGATGTTTAAAGAATTGCCAGGAAAAAACATCTGAAAAGGTATTGAGCTTGAGGCACAGATTCTGCAAGGTACTTATATATGTGTCTATAATGGGACACTTTGTTCCTTATGGTTGGTGTGTGCTTAAGTCTTTTACAAAGTCCAGACTTACCAAGTCCAGACTCCAGCACATAGTATTTAGGATAACAATCTTGTTAAGAAACATTACAAAAATTACAAATGCGGGTGTTTAGTCTACACAGGCAGTCTCAGATTAAACTGCTGGCATCTGTCATAACTGCTTTAATGCTGTGGGTCTAAGTAGCTCTCGCTACAAGCTTTTCTGTGCTTCTCAGCAATTGTATCAAGTTCTTCTTTGTTTTTCCACAGGCCTTACTTTGAACTCAAGGCAAAATACTATGTGCAGCTTGAGGTATGTATCTACTTCAGACCCATGAAAAACCGATTACAGGAAAATGATGAAATTCAATGCAAAGTGCTGCTCTAATCATTTTTCTTACATTTCAGTGCCAAACAAATTCTATTCCAAGCCATTTATGTTGAAGAACCTACTAAGCATATTTTAAAGATAAGACACCAAAGAAACCTTTGTTTCTATTTGTGAAACAGGAGGGCTCCAAAATCCGCTTTGTATCTTTGTGCTTGTTGTTAGAATCAAGCAAATATAATTTGACCAATTTTACCTGGAAATTATGTGAAGTTTATGAATGTCATTTACTCTGTGTTTTTATTATTTTAAACTGTACTTAGCTGTGCTTTTGGTTAAATCACATGATGCTATTTCCTTTTCTTGATTGGATACCAGTCTTACAAGTCAATTTTGGCATCAAGGCTTGCAGAAAGCAAACTTAAAATAAGCTTTCCTTCACTGTTGAAATGTGAGCTTAAAATCTATGCTAGGAAACTGAGCCAGAGGGTGTGAACACAAAACGAATTGGCTGCTTAGTGGGGGAATGGAAAGTTCACATAGACACTCTGTGTTTTGGAAACAAATCAAGCAATTCAGCTCTTCCAAGCTCTGTCAGGGGAGAGGCATGAACTCTTGATGTTCGTTCTGTCAGTGAATTGCTGAGCGTATGTGACGAGTGGCAGCTTGAAGTGATAGTGACACTTAGGCCCGTGCAGATGTGTGGGAGTCTCTTCCAACATGTGGCAATAATACCTCAAACTGTTCCAGAGACTAGTGTAGATGATCTGTACAGGATAATTGTCCAGGTAGTTCTGTGCTTGCTGTTTTCAATCTGTTGCATCACTCAGTTGTGGTACTCACTGCAATAAGTAGCCAGAATACCGTGAACTTAGTTTAAGTGCATAGACTTGGGACTGAAAAAGGGTATCTATATATGCCCTTATCCAAACTCAGTGCAAACTACATTTAAGTACGCAGCACTATCAGGGTGTGGTACTAGCAGCTCCTGTCAAGGCTTCTAGTAGCAATGTTTTGATAACTGTTTCCCCTTTTCTTTTTCTGGGGCAGTTAAATAGAGTACAGTTAGTTAAAGTAGATGGATGCAGGTAGTATGCAGGTAACCAGAGAACAGTTAAGTTGCAAAGTAGACAACAGTGCCAAACAAGACTACGTATGTAACTTGAGTTGGTTACAGTTTAAGTAGTGGGCAATAGTTTGAGACCACTGTTGTGTTATGCAAATTATGCAGTTATCTGGTAAAGAAGTGGAGTGCACAGTATATACTGTATTAAGCACTGTTGTTGGGCTCCTCATCTTCACATGGCTCAGCTTGCCCTAGACTATTAGAAGCTCCTGTGCTGTTCCCAGGCATGTAGCACATAACCAGTTCTTTCCAGCTCATTTCAGTAGTAGCTCCGTGGTTGTTTGGCTTTCTCCCATCTTCACTCCCACAGCTTCATTGCTCCTTTGGTGGTGCCCAGGCCAGAGTCTGTTACATTTTTAGCTTGGACCCTGAACAACTTAAAGCAACTGACTTTCAAAAAATGGAGAAGCAAATGCCCCCTTTCTCCATAAGTAGTGGAAAATGTGTGGCTTGTGCATTTTAAAAATCTTCATGCCTTCTTTATTAGCAATTAAAAAAGACTGTGGATGACCTGCAAGCAAAGTTGGCCCTGGCAAAGGGAGAGTACAAAACTGCCTTGAAAAACCTGGAGATGATCTCAGATGAGATCCATGAGAGGAGACGGTCTGCTGCAATGGGGCCCCGGGGCTGCGGTGTGGGTGCTGAAGGCAGTAACACTTCAGTGGAAAACCTTTCAGCAAGCAAACTGGAGGCAGACACCATCTCCAGTAAGTATAAAATTGTACACTTAGAAACTGCCATAAGCAGGTCTTGTGCTGCAAGAAATGTTGGATGAAGAAAGCTATTGATGTCTTGTAGTTTGTGATTGGGTGTTTTGTGGCTTTGGTTAACTCAGTTATGCTTTCAGCCAACTTGACAATTTCTGAACCCTTGAGAATTCAGTCCTTGGGGAAACAGAGTAGAGTGGAAATACTCCCCTTGTGTCTAGCATGGCAGGGATTGAAAAGCACAGCGTTGTAGGAAAGAAGCAGTCAATAAACATTAATGGATGTGAATACAAGCTTCTGAAAGCATTTATCCAGTTGTTCTGGAGACTGCTCCATACAGTTTGCTTTGGCTGAGGGTGGTCAAGATGGATGCAACTTTGCTAGTATGGGAAAAAGCTATAGTTGTATAAAGACATTGTTATACTAGTATAAATACTATCCATTCAAGAGGTGCTGTACTGCTGTGCTTGTAGTGGTACAGTGAAAACCATTCAACTCTTGTAAGCCTTTTGACCTTGCCTACACACAAGCTGGGATAGGGTTTGCCAGTATGTTGCCATGTAAAAAGGGCAGTCAGACCTGGCACTTTGCATAAGGTCATGCTTGCTCAGTGTGATGATGATAATCAGGGCTGGAGATACCTGCCCTTTTGGCCTTCAGTGCAGCTAATGCTTCTCAAGATCATATGCACTGTACTTACTACTCAGATCTGGTGCTGATTTTTCACCAGTTTTATGACTCTGTAATACCACTTCATTTAAGTTACCCCTTACTGTTACTGGTGTGAGCATGGGCAGATTTAGGATTTTGAAAAGGGGGTACAGATGGTGTGGTGCATCAAGACAACACATTTTTCTCCAGTTAAAAAGAACAAGAAGTTGTACTAATATGCTAGAGGCCCAGTACTATAGTATTCAGTTTAAGATCAAAACAAAACTAAATGCAGCTGCATTGGAATGTGCACTGGTTTGCTAGATTATATATTTAGTTTTAAAAAAAATCAACAAATGAAGCAAAAATAGTCAAAAGAGATGTGTCATTTGCCCTATAGTCATAATAGATATGTACATGAATCTCATTCAGATTCATAATACAAAATCTAGCTTTGAGCATCCAGTGCTTCGCCGTTCTTGATCCACACTGTATGTAGTTAATATTTACAAGAGTTAATATTACCACATTTGAGTTAAAGTTTTTAGCTAGAACTAAAACCAACGTGCAGGGCTATGAAATAGGAGAGAGTTATGACTGAGAATGGCTAACAGATAGTAACATTGCAGAAGAAAGCATAGCTTGATTTAATGGAAGATCGAGACCACTGAAAACAAGGAAGAGTAGTTAACACCTGTGAAGTGAAGAGCAGTTACCAGGAATTAGATTATAATAAGCCATTAAGTCAATAGATCCCAGCAGACCTGCCTGAATAGAAAGGGCACTGCTGTTTCCAGGCAGATGTTTTTAAGGTTTGGGTAGAGCAGGAATCAAAGGAGGATGTGACTGCACCCCCTGCCCCCTTGATTCACCCCAGGTATGAGTCCAGAGTGGGGGGTTTGACTGTGGGAATTAAAGGTCCAATGGAGAAAGATGTGGGTGTGCCTGTCAGTCACAATAGCAAAAGTATTACCCCCGTAAGAGGTAAATTCTTGCGCATTGTGGTGGGTGATGTCTTTCTACCCATGTCTTTTTATACCTGGACTACTGAAAGAAGTTCTGTCTGCTGCGCTTAGTTAAGATTTCAAGGCATCATGCACTGATTTTTTTTGCTGGTAGATGCTGTTACTTGGATCTTTAATACCCTGTACATTGATTAATAAAACATAAGCTGTAGCTTTTAGTCAGAATTGCATCAAATGAACTGACTTCAGTGCAACAGATAGCTCGTTCCGTGCAAAATTATCCACAATTACCTCAAGTGTGGTGAGCAATGCAAGCTGAGCGGGAAGTAGCTATGTACTAAAGTGTGGAGGAGCTGGAATATTGCTGTACAATCTTGCACTTTTTAAGCAAAGTGTCCCAGTACAAAAAAAAAATTGAGAGGTGGGTGTTACATATTTATCTGTTGAAATATTCTTAGGTCAGTGCTGTAATGTGGCTTTTATAGTACATGAAAGCTAATGATCTTGGAAACAGCAGATAGCAGCTTCTTGTTTGTGCCCTTCATGTTTGTAAGTGAGCAAGAACTGTGGGCTGATGAGATAAGAAAAAAAACTTTGAAACTTTGCTTTGTGGATTTCCCTTGTTAATACTGTTTCTTTGCTCCCAGTGTTCTTTTAAGTTGACTCCAAACCTTGCTTACAATAGTGAGATTTCCAAGTGGGAGGACTTGAAGATAGCTTAGGTCATTTTATGATCTAAAATGAATGGGGGGATTGTTCTGCAAAGGCTGATGCATGTGAGTCACCCGTCTAAGGCCAAGGCTACTCACATGTCAGGTGCTGGTACATGAGCTCCAAACGTGTTAGTGTTGACAAGATGTCTAGCACTTGCATTGTACAAAATGGAACTATTGTTGGCTGATTTCCCCCCACCTGCTCCTAAACAAAGAGTCTGGCTTAATTCATTTTGACAAACTGGAGATGGCCAACACCATTTGGAATTTCACACCAAGAAAGCTAGAAGGGGGAGACAATTTTACTGGGGGAAAGGGCCCCTTTTTTGTTGTTGCTTGAGAGGGAGTTCAACAGAAGTCAGTGGACTTCTACTGTAAAAGCAGGAAGGTAATCTGAAGGTGGCATTCTCTACTGCCACCATATCTGGCTTTTAATCCTTTTATGCTTAAATTTTAGCTAGGAATCTGTAACCTGCTGTGATAAGCACAGTACACTCATTAAAGGGAGAGTCCCTGTCGTGAACAGCTTATATTCTCATTACAGGACCGATCCAGTGAACAAGGCAGACAACAGGATGTGTAGGAAGGAGCAGAGCAAAGTAAAACACGCTCCGCTTAGCATAACGAGCAGCTGTTATTGATATTGGTACACTGCATTACTCTGCTTCTCCCAATAGCTCATGTCAGGAAGTAGGAGCAGACTGTTTCCTTCTGTCCAAGGCCTGCTAATGAAATGCCATGTTAATGTATTGTAGACAGCTGTAGTTACACTTGGCTTGTAAATGCAACCCTTGGGATAGTAGTGAATGTATTGGAGATGATGCAAAAGCAAATAACTGAAATTGCATAGGGGAGCTACTTTGGGGAAACAAGGTGAACTAATTGGAATGCCCCTTAAATGTTCCAGTAGCCTCTGAAGTCTTTGAGGATGACAACTGCAGCAGTTTTGTGTCTGAAGAAGATTCTGAAACCCAGTCAGTGTCCAGTTTCAGTTCTGGTCCAACAAGCCCCTGTGAGATGCCCACTCAGTTTCCTCCAGCAACAAGACCGGGGAGCCTGGATCTGCCCAGTCCTGTCTCCCTGTCTGAATTTGGGATGATGTTTCCTGTCCTTGGTCCTCGAAGTGAGTGCAGTGGGGCATCTTCCCCAGAATGCGAGGTTGAACGAGGTAAGAAGAATTGGGTAAGCTGGGGGTCAGTTTGTTTGTTCAGTTTTGTAGCAGGAGCGGAACATGCTAAACTTTCTCAGGGATGTTGCATTCATTGGGGTGGGATGTGTTGTCTAGAATACTTTGGAGATGGTACCTGAATTTTTTCCATCACCTAGTATTACTAGTATTTTACATTATTAGTTATCCATCCCCAAATGGGATGTGCCTTATGCTTTCCTGTCTGCCCCCCCCCCCCCCT